TAACTATTAATTAACTTATGAGAAACCAAACTCAATATGAGCTTATGTAGATAAAATTAAAATGCACAGATAATTCGGAACTTAATAAACTTGATTAAAAAAACAGATAAATTAATAGTCGTTCTTTCCACTGAAGCTGCAAGAGCGTACAAGTTTTAGCGAAATTTTATAGTAAGTAGAGTAAGAAATAAAAGTTCTTCGTCGAGAAACCTACTTCTCTTGGCTGGTATGCAAGATAACGCGCGCTGCAATTTCCCTCTTCGTTTGATCTGATTCAGCTTTCCTACAGCTACATTTCTTGTCTTACTGAAGTCCTGTCTTTCTAAATTGCATGGAGATTAGGTTAAGTTTTGCAGAAAACGATCAAAACTCGGTATAAAACGACCTGAACACGAACGAGACAAAATTCTGTTCGTTTAAGTTTATAGTTTTGGCTGATGTTTTCCATGCTTTCATGTTCATTCTGGATAGCAAAAAACTTAATTCTCTTGAAAAAAAAAAAAACATGTCTTCTTACTTTGCTTTAGTTTGTTTGCCCTCCTGTCCACTAATAAACTCTTCAAATGTGGAATTTTGATCAACAAACACAGTTCACCTTCAGCCATTTTGCCATCAACGCGCGGTATGTGAGAGAAGCCATTTCAGTGTTGTGAATGTCGCTTTCTGATTGGCTGATTACGGTTTTTCTGTGCTGTGATTGGTTATATTTTCACATGTGAAAAATGCTATACGCGCTTCTGATTGGACGTATCGCTATTTTTCACATGTGAAAATATAGCATATAGATTTCTATTTATGCCATTTACTCTATGAAAGTCTCGTTATATATATAATAAAATACCTTTTTTATTACTTCCACTATATAGAGAATCCTCGAATGTGTTATTTTCACTAGTGAAAATATCAACTTTGCGAAACGGAGAAATATAGGTATTTCATACTAGATAATTATATGATAAAGAGGGATATCAAATTTTAAGTTGTTCGATCTCTTTTCCCCCTCAGGAAATTAAAATCTTCCTAAGAGATATTATGTAAATTTTTGGCGAATTTTTGGTGTCTGAACTCTATTATTTCCATGACAATTGTGACACGTGGTCTTGTATTTATCAATCGGATTCCAATTCTTTTCGCGGTATTTTAGCTCTTCGACAAGCTTCTTGCTAACGAAGACTGGCTGTAGATCGATGTCAATTCCGCTTCCAAGCTCCAACAAACAGAGTAAGTCTTTGGCGAAAATCTCATTGCGCACTATTTGAAAATGAATTCAGTGTTCCGAAAAAAGTAACATTGCTCTAATAAAAAAAAATAAATATAATCTTTCATCCTGAAAAAGGTATTTCAAAAATAGAACACGAATTATTTTCGACAAAAATATTCATAAGTTCTTTTTCAAACAAGTCATATATAATCTTTAAATGATGGGAGTGACTATTTTTACAATCTTTATGAAAGCTGCCCTGGTAATTAAGATAGCGTTCATGTATGCGAATAACAATTGCCTCGATTCTAAGGATTTTTTGAAGTTGATTTTAATTAAAATTGCTCACTAAAATGAAAACCTCATATCTCTTTAATTCGATCGTAGAGTGTGTGTCTCTGTAGTAATTACATAGAGGTTGCATTGATTCTCTATATTACATGTAATAATATATTAATATTAAATATTTATAATCGCTTTAATTATGCTTATTTAATCATATCATTGCTTTCCTATTCCGTTTCTATTAAGAAAAGTACGTTTTAACAGTGTGAAGAACCATTTGGGGAATTTTCTTAGTCTGAAAGAACAGACCAAGAAAATTCCCCAAATGGTTCTTCAGCTTTAATACTGAGCTTTGAACACTGTAATTAATATTGGAACTCTGATAACTCTCAAAGTCTACCTCCTCCCCTTTTCTATAGTAGCAAGCTAATACTTTCACCATTCTTCTAGAACTCATTAATAATTCATGAGCTATTAGTCCAATGCAACGTCGTAGAAACCTTACTACAGAAAGCGCAAATGTAGTGTATTACAGTCTTATTAGGCCAATTTTAGAATACTGTGTAAGCGTGTGGGGCAGCTGTGGGGAGGGTCACAAACATAGTCTGCAGGCCCTCCAAAACCGTGCTGCTAGAATAGTTGTATTAAGATCTGAGCGCAGCAGTCCAGCGATTGACTTTTTGAAGTGGCCCACGTTAGAGGAGGGCAGGCGCAAATCGGTTTTTAAACTTGTAAAAAA